AAACAACCTCGGCGAGTATAGGAATTCGAAGATCCGCTTAATAACCGTTTATGAAAAATATCTATATTATCGAGGATCGAAAACTTGATTATACGTAACGTGCGTCCTTCTTCAGCAACATTCTTGGTATGCTCTACGAATACTGGTAGATTACATTGCATATAATCTGGCAATAGCTGCAGATGTGTTGCATGCACGAGTACATTCACCGATCAACTCGTCTCGCGTTGCATAACTACAAGTCACGCCCCTCAATCTAAAGCCCGTTAACAGATTCTCGTACTAATTCCCGTAGCCGGTAACCGAATCAGTGGAACGATGTCCAACAATACCGTGCAAAATACACGCAGTTTGAAAACCGTCCGCCATAGAATGTTGAAGCAAGTTATTCTGAAACCGTTAAAAGTATCAAGAACTTAAGGAGATCACCAATTGAATGAGAACGTTATGTCTAGAGCGTAATCCCTTAAGTAAAATAAAGAAGAATAAAGAAGAATGAAGAAGAATCGCAAAACCAATTTGTTTAAAATTCCTGCGAGAAGAGGCGCGTGCCAGAGACAGGACAAAACTGACAAGAGGGACGCGGTGGCTTCGCTAAATAACAGCATTACAAAGGCATTAGTTCCAGCCTGTGACCGTTCATTCCAAAGTTAATCATGCCGCTTCGTAGAGCGGAACGTTATTTCTTACATTGGTCCCAGAAAGGCGCGCAGGGTCGACGAGGACAGGAAAGGGGTACGTTTCAGAGATGAACAAGGGGCTAAAACGTTTGCGACTGACAGCCTTATATTTTCCGCTGCCCGTTTTCTCATCGCCGACGGCCATAATCATCGGAACCGCGTGCCCAGTAGTTCCCGCGGTTTCCCTGGGAAATCGTCACGGTCCGTTGAATGCGTCCATTGTAATTTGGCGAAACGCGACCCGCGAGGATTAAAACGCTTAACGCGACGACAAAACCCGGCCACGGCTATCTTCCTGATGAGCTTGGAGATTTTTGACCGCGTAAGGGAAATCTCCGTTTCCACCTCGAGGAATCGTGATTCGGGGTCAACTGTTTGCGAATATCACGGGTTAAATATTCATGGGTGTGTGAAAGATTATGACCTTTAAATGTCGCATGAAGTATTACGAAAAAATCTATTCTGAAGTTGTCCTAAGTTATTCAATATCATGCCTCTAAATTGTAATTCACAGATATTTTACATGAAAATTATATTTTTATCTTTCAATGATATAAGATATTAATTGAATTTCGTATTACAAATACAAAAGGAAAAATAATACATAAAGAAGGCACGGTAAATCCCAGCCGCTTAATTGTTTCAACCTCTGCGTAATGAAATCCCTTTGTGCTCACTTCGAAAGATTAACGAAATTCATTTTTCTCCGGTTGTAAAAAAAAGAAGATAACCGCCTCGCCTCCGGCTGGGTTAAACCTTCGTCCGTAAAATCGAGTAGAGAAATGGAACCTAATACAACTGGATACACGACCGTCTCTGCGGTTTCCCCCATGATCGTAAGGATTCCTGCCGTCGTAACGATCCCCCCATGCCCTTTTGCTGGGATTTCTCCAGGATAAAATAACCGAAATGTAACTCTATTTATTACTGGATCCCCGGGGTTTCCATGTACAACTGAACTGTTGTAAACATATTTAGGAAAATTATTTATAAGATGGCTTTATACTTTATCTGTGTATATTATTAATTAGTTTTACAAAGAAAAGAGTATCGTATAATTTAGAATTTGAATTAGGAAAATATATGTTGAAAAATAGAAGTTTATTGATTCTATTATTCGTTTCATCAAGCAATATCGTACCGATCTTGATAAAAAATCGTGCCATTCGACCACAGCTATAATGTGAACAAAGTATTCGAGATACACTTTGCCGAAGAGATATATGACATTTCCGGCAATAATCCCCCAGAAAACCGATACATTTCGTTCGAGTCCGGATAAACGCGCCAACGTAAGATAGACATAAATTGTGTATAAATCCCTAGGAACGGAACGCGGTAGTTCCGTCGCGATTCTCCCAAGGATCAATAAACTTACGTTTGTTTTCCGCTCTCTGGATCGCGTTTACTCCCGCGAATTTACCAGATAAGACGATATCCACGGACAAGATGCGCCGTGGCCCAAAAATTTAAAACCATTATTCCGGTTGTTTCAGCCAAATAAAAATCCTACAATAAACGAATTAATAGTTTGAACAGAATTGTAAATTTGTAAATGAGAAGAATAACTCCGCGATGGAAATGATGCAAAATAAAATCTCCCGTTCTTTCTAACGATATTTCACAGTGATTTCGATCTCTCGAGAGCAAAGGTACTGAGTCACAGTGACGCGTAGACTGGCTTGTACCCGCGGTATGATTGATCGAATATTTAAATATTTGCGGAGATACACAACGACGGCAGTGAATACCCCGGCTCGGTTGGCAGAATGAATGATGCCCGAACCAGCTCGGAGAGCCATATGGTACCCGGGTTGTATTTCGTATAATAGGTACACATATTTAGCGAAATCTCCCGCGCACCGACCCACTGTTCCATTTGTGCACGGCAACAACCAGAATTTAGAACTCCGTGGCCTTCCGTTCTCCCGGAAATTTGAACGACACTCAACCCCGGATGTAATTTAACGGGGTTATAAATTTTACCCTCCTTATCTCGCCACTTTGCGAAATATAATCTGACTCTCTCTGTCTCCATACTGTAACCAGAAACCATTTTCATTTTTTATGAATATCTACTGTTCCCTCGAGGTAACGAAACTACTGAAAAATAAAATCAAGTGGTCTGTAGAAAAATTCAGGACTAAATACACTTTTAAATACGACAGATTTGTGAAAAGCAAACATTTACAAAAAAAAGACTAAAGATATTCACTGTCGTTCGTGCGAGGAATCATTCGTATTGCACGGATAAAATGACAATGATAAACGTATTATCGAACAGTAAAAGAAATGTTCAATTGTTCGAAACGAAAATGGGAATAGTCAAGTAGGTTACAGGGAGCGATCGAAGTGGCATTGGAGTAGTGGCGTCGAGCGGCAGCCAGCTCTCATACTCCAATTGCAATTGCCGATGCGTACACAACGGGACGGAGATCAGGCACAGTGAAAGCGAACGGGACGGACGATGCGACAGGAGCGAAGATCTCAAATTATGCACAAGCGCAATTAACTCACTGTAAGCGGGTTGTCGATACACGTTAACCATGCAGCAGTGTATGCCTTCTCTCATTTCCACACTTACACCGATACGCGAGTTTTGCGCTTAAAATTAATTGTACCGGTTCCCTAATTATATCTCAAAGATTACATACAACGATTGCATTTAAATCAACCATCGGAAACTAAGTCAGAGCTGTTTGAGACAAGGATTACTAAGTAGACGATTTCATAATCGGACAATTCTATAAACGGAGATTAAATAATATGATTGTGATCGAGCCAATCAATGGTAAAAATCAGCAAAAAGTTGAATAGAGATAAATTTTCCTCCGTTACGAATGGATGAGCCGACAGATTATTCTCACTCAATTTTCCGCAATTGCACAATGAGATTTGAGGAAATAGTGATGGGCGTCGAGACGGTGCGAATAAATTAAGACGCTTCCGCTTTATGGTCGCGGCGATATCGACGTCCGGCCACGCAGAAGAACAATGTTCGATCAGGGTAATTAGCCCGACGATTTATCGAGGCGGGCGCGCGCGCTAGACAAAGAGACCCGAAAGGACGGAGCTAAACAGAACGGGGAAGAATAATTTATTCCCCGGGCAAATCGACGGAACCGCACGACGCGGCTCGGCGTCGAGTTAGCGTCGTGATAATAATTCCACGTGGCGTCGCACCAGGGATCGATTCCACCTATCCGAACGTCCTTCTCTATTCAAATATTTACGATTTTATGATTGAATTCACGCGATAGTCCGCGAGACAACGGGCCACCGCTTCGTTCGTTTGCGCGATCACGACTAACAGCCGCCATGCCGAATACATTACTCCGATTCCGATCGATTCCAGTCGGGGAACAAGCGAATTTCGTCTAACGAAACCGTAGATGGAGTGAAGAATAAACGAAGTGGATAATCGGTGATAATCGAATTAAATAATTCAGTGGTTCATGAGATTTCCAGCATTTCAAAACTTATGCTGTGACAATTTGAAGAAAAAACTATTTATACGTTTCCGTATTATTTGTAATCAAGTATTTCGTTCAATTCTGCATTTCATTTAATGTATTCGCATGAACACATAACTTTAAGTCCAACATACATTAAGCAAATCCCCATATGATTAACGTGGTAAATCTGTTTCGTATTTCGTATGTACATTTAAAGCAGTCAGAAGTCTGATATCTTTAACAGATGCAAAACGAAATCATATGAACAGTGCTATTCAGTTCACGCGTTCAGTTTATGATATTCTTTTTCACCCCACGAGAAGTTGCGCAACGCTTTCGATTAAGATCGTCGCAAGGCATTACACCGTCGAGGGTGTGATTCGACCGGCGACCCTCTGGAAGCAAAACCGTGATGGGGGAGCAGCTCGCATTAGTCGCCGGCGATTACGACTGGGAAGCTGGCTACAACCGGCGACGATGGTCTCGCGAATATTTTTCCACGTTCCAACGCGACGCGACGTCGTCGTTGATTTCGAGTAATCGTCGTGGCAAACGATGCGACGCGTCGCGTTTCCATAGGCAATTTGTCCCGCGCGGCTGATGCGGAATTTAATGGACGAATTTAAATGGAAATTATTTGCTCGCTGGGGATAAGTATAGCCTCTCGCGTCTCCCACCAATGGAAATTTAACGCGGTGTAATACCGACGATCTCGAGCGTAATAAAATTCTTAGCATCTCGAATGTCCGAGAAACCGCTTCTACATTATCTACGCAACAGACGTTCGCAAGGACGTAATTTGCGCCCTAACGAGACTTCTGAATGTGATGAGAAAAAACTTATAGCCATGCGAGGATTTACTCACCATATGACTCGAGCCAGAGATGGACCCGTCGAACTGAAGCGTCATTCATTCACTGGAACAAAATAAAAATATATTCTTTAATATATATTACACAGATAATAAATTAAAAAGTGAGAATCCAAATCTTTATCTTTCAGTTTAATTCCCTTAATTCCGGGTTGAAAAGCTCCTAAGCTCGTGTATTCCAACAAATGTTGGGCTAACGTATAAGATAGCTCTGTAATAAATCCGGTATTACACTTATTCGCTAAATAGACTGCCAGCACGAGTCAAGAATTATTTAAGAAAACAGGATGGGGTTCGTGTTCAACGGGTTTGATTTCAGAGATCTACGTGCTCAATTATCCACGGTGCAGCCCCTTTAAATTACCATTTAAATCCCCGTACGTGTACGAATCCCCGTGCTTCGTAGAGCACGTAGATCCGTCAACCGAACGTCCACGGAAACAAAAGGATTACGCTTGCTCCCCTGGCCGCAGATGCATACGCATTGCCTATGCAGCCAGTCTGCTTGTTCGTTCTTTCATCCTCGTTACACAAACGAGCTCTTTATGCTTGACTCGCGATCGATTACGCGACGGCTCGCTGATTTTCTCCTACTTTTATCCGCCACGCAAGACCAGAGATTAGTTTTCTGCGTTCCCATTCGTCCATACGCATCGACAATCTTTCTTTTCTTTTATTCGCCAGGTTTCATTTTCTCCTCATCAAAATTGTTTCTTAAGTGAAATATACTCCACGTGGAATTCGTTACCGCTTGATTCTCTCGGAGATTCGTGTCAGATATACTGCCAACTGATACGACAACAGAATATAAAAAAACACAATCTTATAGATTTACTATCTTAACCCATTCGCTGCCAAGAACGAGTATACTCGTCTTTGGCAGGGTGTCACGCATTGCCAGGACGAGTATACTCGTCCTGCTTTAAATATATTATAACATGCAGGCTGTTTTGAAGGC